AAAAAATAATAAAACATTAATATTGATGACAATGCAATATATTTATATAATTATCAAAATATTTTTTTATATATACTTTTTTTCTTTAAAAATGAAGATGATGTTTTTATATTTAATTTTATTATTTTGATAGATAACTTCATTTCGAACTTGAATTATATATGTAATAGTATGGTTAAACATCTCATATAAATAGTCTTTCATAAAACTCCATTTAAAAGTATGTGAAATCTTAAGTTTAAAAAGAGATTGAAACCAAAATTGACGAGTTGATAAATTACCATAGTTGAAATTCATGACCATCATGTTAAAAACAAATCTGTATATAATATATAAAGTTAAAAATTACAATGTTTTTAAAAGAAACAATAATGAAAACAAAATACTTAGCATAACTAATCTATTATTTTAACAAAGTTTTCTATGAGGAATTTGGATACACTCTAACCTTTAGAAATTGAGTTAGATTAGCCTTCTTTTGACATTTTGAGTGATAAGTTAACTTTAATAGCTTTTTACATTTTCTGTTGCTATTATTTTCATTCTTGTCAATATCTATACAGTATATTGGCTAGCTAATATTATTAGATAAATAAAGGATAAATAAATAAATTTTGAATAAACCTTACTGATCATTTTCCTTAGATGGCAAGGATATTTTAACAGAGTTTGGTTTCATATTTGGAGAAGCCATCTTATAAGAGAACCAAGAGTCTTGTATCATTAAATTTAAGAAATTATTTGATATCATATGCGAATTAATATAATCAATCCCTATAGGAAACCACAACTTTTGCGACTATTCTATGACTTACTTATTTCAGTATAATTTACAAGCTGAATTTTTTGAAGTTGATGCCACTTTTAATGAGTTTGTGTTAGGCACACTGTTGTTGCCTTTTAAGTTTTTTTTTTGCACTTGAAACTTCATAACTTTTTTGTATGATAAAGAAGGTGGAGGAAGAGGGAGAGGAGAAAGTAGTGGTGATGGTGGTGGTGGTAATAGCATCATTGAATAAGAATTAAAAGTAAACTGTCTGATGTAAGCATTTGATCTCTATATGCAATGGAAGGGTAATTTGACAGCTATAGAAATGATAATGTTAAATTTTGGTTAAATGAAAAAAAATACCCGAACCTATAAATACAAGTAGATAATGACTTTACTGATTAGGATTTAAAATTGAAGGGTATTGGCTTGAAGTTTGTTTACAAATAGTTGTAAAGGTGATTTCACATGCTGATTTTTTTTGTTTTATATTGAACAAACATTATATATCAAAGAAATGGTTTAAAAACTTTATTTGAGACAATAGCAAGTTAAAATAGGATAAAGATAAACTTTTTATTTCATTATGATTCTCAAAGTATAATGAAAGTTTCTTCATAATACTATATAAAGATATGCTAATTTTCCCAAATAGTTTTTAAACCTGTAAAGAGCAAGAAAGAGATGTTATCTTAAACTCGTATTCAGAATAGCGATTTGGAGTATAAAAAGGTTTAAAAGTTTTGAGAAGCTATAAAAATGAGTTTAATATTAGTATTTTACTGAGTATTTATTACAAAAGTACAAATAATAATGGGTATTCCAAAGTTCTTTTGATAGATGAGGTAACTATTTACAACTTTGTACTTTTTCTTAAATAAAATTTAATGTTTTTTATTTAAATTGCTCTGTTACATCTTTTAAAATATTCTTTGCAATTATTTCAATTTTTAGTAAAAGATATCTATTGTGTAGTCAACTAATTACGGAGAACAGGTAAGAATTTAAATACTAACTAGAATTGTCATTTCAAATAACTTTTTTTGTTTTATAATTGTTTATCATTTTTTGCATTCTTTCATAAAACTCTGTTTTTTAGGATTTCAGATCATATTTTTCTTTTAGTATCTTCATATTACTTTAAGAATGAATGGTTCAGTAACTGATTTAATGCATATCAAATATAAAATAATAAATTTTTAGAAATCTGTTAATAACAATAATGGCCATCCAAAAAATTATGGTTAATCATTCAATTCTGATACTTTACTCATATGATGAATATAGTGCAAATGGCTTAGTCACATTCAAGGATTTTTAATGATTTCAAAATGTAAAGGAATTTTATTTAAATATATAACTATTAAAAAAAATACGTAATTTAATAGTTTTTGATATAGTCTACAAAACTATATATTTTTTTTGTTCATTTTATTATAAAAAATTTTTTTAGTTAGAATTTTTTCAACGCTAATTTTAATAGTAATAGAGAAATTTTCAGTATCATCAGTATCATATAAAAGAATATTATTGGTGTATATTACTCACATGATCATATTTGATTAGCGAAAAAATGTTTTTGTATCTTACATGTTACTAAATTCTTTTAAAATGGTTTTAAGAACTCTATGATAAGACTGATACCACTTGACTGCAAAAACAGCCACTTTACCTGAAAGTTCAAGTTTATAAGCACTCATGTAATGTGCAGAATGACAGGAGAACTGGTGAATTTTCATTAGGCTAATGGAATCTAATGCACACGATACAACTTTTTTAAGATAATTGAATGAATAATTACAGTAAAGACGTGAGTACCGCTTCGCTTCTGCCCAAAAGGACTCATATAATTAAGTTCACAGTGAAATTTCAGGTAGAATATACACATATATCCAGCTGCTTCAATAACCTAAAAAAATAAGTATTTTATGTGTTTTATTATATTTGAAATAATGAATATCATATTAATTATAACTTACCTCCTGTAGATGTATTCTTTATGATGCAAAGTCAGGTTGAGCAGAAAGGATGTATGTTGCATAACAGTCCAGTTTATTTGATTCAAAATTATGTTGTGAACATGCATTACATTTTCTTTTCAAACCTAGTATCCACAAATCATGCTTTTTAAGAATCTATCAGATACCTTTAGGCTTTATAATACTGTCAACATCTGTAAATGTCATGATATGAGACAAACTATTAGGCAATTTACTATCACAGAGGAGTAGTTGTTTTCTACCATCCTTTATGTTTATTCTTGAAACTACTAATGCATCATCAGCAAATGCATTGTGGTTGCAACTGTTATCAAATATGAACAATACAACTTTTTTCAGATGAGTATATTCTAATATTGGGATGGCTCACTCTTTCACCTGTTTAATAACATTTTCATTTTTTCATCAGCTATCATGATTTGTACTAGGATACATTGTAATGCAAGCTTCAGTGTACATAAGCTGCTCACTATCAGGAAGTAAATCATTAGTAGAACAATCTCTTCTGAGAGTCAGAGTCGTTCAATAAACTTACAAAAAAAGTTGCTTATGTGAATTCTAAGACCTTGCGATTTGCGACTAAGTTGATTCTCTTCCGCTAAACCTCAAACCTTAATAATATCATCATTAGTATAAAAAATTGATTCATCATGAGTAATGGGAATGATTTTAGAAACATTTGGTAGAATTATAGGTGAAATGACCTGTTTTAAATCTTCGCCTTCATAGGTAATCATTCGTTCTTGCAATTCTGCCTATTGCTGTAAAAATCGATGCCTATCTGCTACTATATCTTCATACTCATAACCATCAAAGTAAATATTCTTTAAATGGTCTTTATATTCCCAGCTAAGTATATGCAGCCATTCACGTACAGTTGAGCATGAGATACTTGTTTTTCTTCTATTTCAAGAGCAAGGATAACCTCATCCTTGATGAATTTTATGAAATCAGCAACATTCAATTTGAATTTATATACACATAAATATTCAGTAACTTGCAATTTGAAGTCTTTATAAAGAAGAAGAGACTTAACTTTTGCATAATGACTACATTTAGACGTAACTATTATACCATTTTTAAGCCATTGGTTTGCTCACAAATAGATAAGTCGTGCTTGCCAAGGATCTTTGTTTAAGTTTTGGATAAGAAGATTACTTGCATCCATCTTGGTAAATCTGTAATCCCAGACAAGATAGAGAAATTGACTTACTTTTTGAAGCCATAAATCATCTTTCTTCTTCTTTAATAATGAATTCAGAGATTCTAAAGTGAATTCATTATCATCATCGCTGCTGTCATATGTGTTTTCAAATGTGAAGAATGTGGATTTGTATCAAGTTCAGCAGTAACTTCATTTGTTGAAAACATTTTAGTAATCTTTTTAGAACCAAAGGCTGCTTTTTGCCAATATACTCTTTTATTACGTAATGTTGATTGTGCATTACCATTGTAAACATGTCTACGTAAACTTATATTTCATGTATATATCTTTTTTGCATTTTCAATTAGTTATTCTAATGTATTTAATTGCAATTCTTTCATTCCATTCGTAATTTCTTCATCATCGAATCAAGTTCCTCACCTTCTATCTAAAAAGTATTAAATCATGATTCATTAATCATATCGGGTTCAGCATCTAATAATTCTAAAAACACTTAGAGATTTTTTTCTTGCTTCTAATGCTTCTTAATAGCATCCCAAGACTATTTAGTACATTTATTTGGTTTTGGCATTGTAATTTTATTTAATTGAATAAGTTAATAAAGCGAAAAGATATAAAATATTACAAAATGATACGCGTTTAAAAACGATCACGTGATTATATATTCCTGTCACGTGTTGGTCTTTTAACCAATAAAATGTCGAATTGAATTTGGTAATGATCGGCACAAATTTCAGCGGTGGCTTAGCCATTTGATGCGACTAAGCCGTTTGCACCATATAACTTATCACAAATTTTTAATACGGGACGCTAATCAGGTTAAGGCTTAAGGCTTATGATAAACACCGGTAATACTACAAAAAAAGAATTAGTATGGTTGATGGAAAATATTTTGACTCGCATAACTCGCGGGAAATTTATAACTCCAAGATTTTTAATTTTTAATAAACGAAGAGTATTTTCAGCAACTACGAATCATAATATTCAACCTAATATCCTTTTAAAACATACTGTAATAATTTCTTTAACACTTTGTGTTTTAAATAAAACCCATAATAATATAATAATGTTTACTAATATAAAAGATCGACTTAACCACATAAAAGAAAAACAACATAATGGTGTTGGTAATGAAGATGAACCAAGTAAAGAATCTGTATCTTCAGGTAGTAATGATAGTAGTAGCAATTCAGTCGGTGGACTTTTTCGTCGTCCCATACAACCTATTAGACCACCAAATTCTTCCTCTTCAATAAAGAGTGAAGATAGTGGCAGTAAAGTGGACATTACTTTATTCGAGAACGAAGACGAAGAATTAATAATTGATTATAAAGAAAAGGATGACATTGAAGGCCTTCCAGAAGAAATAAAAGAAAAGTTAGCTAAGTTAAAGAAATACGAAATCAAATTTCCAGGTGAGAGAAACTAGGTCGATGAAAAATTATATCCATTGACTATGTGTAAATCCTCAATTTAAAATATTTGATCTATTTCATAATTTATAATGAACATGTACTAATTAATACCTATGTACTTTATGTAGAAATTGTAAAATCATATAAGAAACTGCTTACTGAAAAAAAAACAGTCGAAGCTGTATTAAAGGAAAATACACATTTAGAAGGACTTTCTGACGTGGAAGCGTTTGAAGCGCACTTAAAAAATTTAAATATAAAGAATGGAGTACATATATTATTCAATTATTAGTTTCTTAGCTCGAAATATTTTCTTATGATTAAACTAACTTTCACTAAATTCATAGATGTCAATGGAAGAAATTAAAAGATTAACTCAGATCCAAGACGGTAAATATCAACGATTTATACTCTAAGATTATTATTTTTTCTTTACACATATTATTTTTCTTTCCTTGGTCTTACTAAGCTTCTCTTTCTCACCATATCCTTTTTTTTTTTTTTTATCTTTTTAGAATCAAAAAAACAGATTGAGAAAATGAAGGAAACTCATAATATTGAATCCAAATCACAATCAGACTTGATAGATAACTTACAGAGAAAGTTGCAAGAACAAGAAAAGGTACGTTCTTAATTCTAATTTTGATAGAATTCTTTTTTTTTTATAATTTTCAATTCACACTTTTTTCGTTTGTAGAAAGTTGAAGATTTACGTAAGCAATTATCCGAAAACCCTTCATCGCCGACTACATTGCAAGAAATTGGTAGTAATAAGGAGGATTCAGCAAATTTAAATCAACCTGCTGACCTGGATGAAGTTGCACTAGAAGCATCTTCTTTTTTATCAGTAGATTCACAAACATCATCAAAATCAATAAGATTAGAATATGAAACTGAAATAATTTCTTTACAAAAACAATTGGAAGAAGTTAAACCGATAAATTCTTCACTAAATTTAAAAATTGATGAATTAAATAATGAATTAAATAATTATCGTAAGAAAGTAGAAGATTTAGAATCATCAAATCTAGAATTAAAACAAAAACTTGAAAAATTTTATGATTCCTCAATTACAGATGCTGATGATATTATTAAAAAATTTGATTCATTAAATCAAAAAATCCAAAAATTAGAATCTGAAAAATCTTCATTAATTGAACGTAACACAAAATTTTCTAACGAAATATCCCAATTAAATAAAAACATTGAAACCTCAACGAAAACACAATTAGATAATGAAAAAAAGTTAAAAATAGATTTTGAACAAAAAATTTCTCAACTTGAAAATACTTCCTTAGCCGAAAAATCAAAATTAGAACATATAATTAAAGGATTAACCAATGAAAATGAAAATATTAAAAAAGAATTGGAAATAACTTTAAAGGAAACTCAAGAATTAACAGAACAGCATCGTGTGGCATTAGATACAAAGATTAAAGAATTTGAAAATGAAAGGGATTTGATAACAAAACAGTTTGATAAGAAGTTAGAAGATGCAAAATTGGAAATTGCAAAAGAAAAGGCTCTTCTTGAAGAACAGCTTAAAGCCGTTACTGAAAAAGAAGGGATCACTGCGCATCAACAAGGAGAGGTTACACCTGATAATGAGGGATCGAAGACCAAAAGGCGTCAATTTGAGTTGCAGATAAAATCATTGCAACAAGAAATTGAACAATTGAAACAAGGAAATGATTCTTCAAATAAACCTTTTCTTTCAACAGAAATTCTACCGATACAAGATAAAGAGCAAACAAAAAATAAGAATGCTGATGAAAACCAACCAGATAGAGCACCTATAAATACAGAACATGATACTATAACAAAAGAGAAAGATCAATTAGTTATTAAAGTGCACGAGTTGACCGAAGAATTAAATGTTAAAAGAAAGCAAATCGATGAACAACAAATAAAGATTCAGGAATCAGAGGAAAAAATAACAATATTAAAAGCAAATGTAAATGAAAAAGATGATCAGTTAAGTACGGTTCGATCACAGTTGAATTCAGCAAAGGAATCTATCTTGAAACTTGAACAAACAAGAAATGAATATAGTGATAAAGTCGTTAAAATTGAAAAGGCGAAAGGTGATTTACAGAAAAATTTAGATTACATAAGTACAGAGCGAGACAATTTATCGAGGGAACGGGATGAACTTAAATCAACGTATACCGTATTGAGCGAACAACATGATACGTTGAAATCTGATTCGACTAATATGAACAAAAAATTAGCGGAATTGGAAAATCGGATTAATGAATTAACAAAAGAACGTGATGAACTCGGTTCAGCCAAGGAGAATCTAATTAAAGATTTGGAAATTGTTCAAAAGAAAGCAAATGATTTTCGTGCGACAACGGATGATGAGATGGAAGCGTTGAAAAGTAAATTAGAAATAACCGAAAAGAATTATGCTTTACTCGAATCGGATGTTTCTAGACTTCATGTAGCTAAAACGGATGCCCTTGAAAAATTATCCGATGTTGAATCTAGATTAAAATCTTTGACACAACGAGAACGAGATATTCAAGAATCCTTTAATGAAGCGAAATCGACGATTCAAAAACGTGATAATGAGCTTGAAAATTTGAAAAAGCAACAACTAGAAGAAGAAGATAAACGTAATAAATCTCTTGGTTTACTCAAAAAGACCCAACAAAAAATACTCATTTTAGAAAAAGAGAAAAAAGATTTAAGCGATGAAGTTGAACGTCTTATAGATGCTGCTCGAATTGCAGAACAAAATTCTAATTCCAATATAAAACAAGAAATTACGCGTTTTAATAAGGAGTTAACCACAAAATCAACACAAATTACGCAACTTGAAACTCTTAACGAAAAATTAACGACAGAAAAGGAAAAATTATTTGATCAATTACAAGTAAAACAAGCAGAATTTGAATCTTCACAGTCTTTGCTGGAAAATTTAAAACATCGTTCCGCTGAACTTACTCATCAATTAAAAGAAATTGAGGAGAGATCATTAACCTTGGAAGAAGAATTAACGTCATTAAAACGACTTTATAAGGATAAGAGTCGTGAAAATGAAGCATTAAGCATTAAGGTTGAGGAGTTGGATAAAGGAGCAATGGAAAAATTTGATTCTTTAAGGAAACAAGTCGAAACTTATAGGCAGGGGAAAGATAAGGCAGAGTTGGATTTAATAGAGGTCAAGCGAACAATTGAATCTCAAATACAAGATATGACCAATCAACTAACTGCAAAAGACCAAGCGGCAAAGCGGCTTGAAACACAATTAGAGGAAAAGAACAATTCTATAAAGTCAATTCAAGAAGAAAATCAATCATTGAAACAAGGAATGTTAGATATTGAAGCAAAAATGAGCAATCTTTCTTCTAAAGTTTCAAATGCGGACGAAAAATCTGTAAGTAAATATCTATAAACTAAAATATACAGGAATATATATCTAAGCGTTTTTGTTATTAGGCAAATTATCGTGAATTAGAACATTCAAAAGAAAGAATTAAAGAAGAATACGAGAAAATGTTGGAAGAGTCTCGTTTACGTGAAAGTACTTTAAGAACCATGAATAAGGTATAATAAGATTCGTTTTAAAATTATTATATATATATATAGCGGCTAACTTTCATTCGCATGATTTGATATTAGACTTTGCAAGAAGAAGTCAGAAAACTTCATAAAATAGTAGATCGAAACGCACCAAATTCACCACAATCTCCTGGCTATTCACGAAATCCTTCAACTTCCACATCATCGTTTAATAATAGTTTAATGGATGATGATACGAAAATACTTTACATTAGAGATGTGATATTAAAATTCTTGGAATATAAGGATCGTAGAGTAAGTTTTTGTTTGAAAGATTTACAAGAATTAATGACCATTCCATTTTTACTCATGATGATATTCTTTTTTTCATTAGAAATCTTTACTTCCAGTTTTAACAACTGTGCTTCAAATGTCCGATCAAGAAAAGAGAAAACTTGAATCAATGTATGGTAAATAGTTCAATTTTTTATTTATAATATACAATTTAATTTAGTTAATATCTAATAGAATAAGATAAATTTAATGATAATTTTTAATTTGAATTTCGTCACTTTATTTATTTATTTTTTTTTACTTGAATTTTCTGATGTAATTTTTAAACTGTTATTGGGTAAATTATTTCAGTGAGATAAATGCTTTGTCATTAGGGGGTGATGGGCATAATAATATTTGTTTGGTATCACTATATATAACCGAATATTTGTTTCTTTGGTACTTGGAAAAAATTACTTTGATTAAATAATACTAATTTTTCGAGTCTCTTATCATATAATCCGTAAAATCTAATTATTATACCGTATTCCTCCGAAAATAAGCAACGTAATTTTGTTATAAAGTTGCTTATTTTCGGGTATTTAAATTTTTTTTAATGTACTGTATAGTTAAAAGTTTGATTTTCGTGTTATAAAATTAACATGACTCCAACGTGATCACTGATCATTTAATATACGTTACATGCATCGCGAACTAGTTTACGAAGTTGTTAGTGTTAGAAGTGATTAATATGTTTAATTGTTAAAATTTTGCGATTAATATGTGTATTTTACGATAGTGACGCAAGCAATTATTTTATAAAAATTCATTAATAAAATACTCTTTTTTGGTTTATTTGAGCTTTATTTTATTATTTAAAATATTCTTATTACATTACATATAGTTTTAACGCGAAACTAATTAAATATTCTAATTTTCGGGTATTATTTATTTTAAGAGTTGCTTATTTTTGGGGGTTGCTTATTTTCGGAGGAATACGGTAATATCTAATTTCAAATTCACGGAACAGCCAATAATATCCGTTCGTAGCGATATTTTATTTCTTCTGCAAAATGATCGGCAATCACGTGAGATTTGAAATTCGTGTATATAACCCCACTATTATGTAATTGTAGATTCCCAAACGTAATTTTTGATTGCTTTATATTATACGCAGGAAATCATTTGAATTTAAAAATTTAAGCACGATAATTATTTATTTATCACCTTTGGCATAAAGGGATACAAACTTTTTTTAAATTCAGAATTTTTAACTTCCGCTTGATTACGGACAATAAGTATGAAAAATGATATATCAATTGATTTGCTCTTACAAAAATTTTCCCACATACTTGCATAAAAAGCTGAAGAATGTTTAGCTCGTCTAGCTCGTCTAAAGTTAGCAGAATTAGCAGGATTGGCAAACCAGAGTCAATTGGTGTGTGATTTTAACTTCTTTTCAATTCCTTTGAGGGTAGTATAATAACAACACATTTTATCATAGAGGGCGCAAATATCTCCTTTACCTCCATTACCTCGAATCAAAGGTAAATAAATATTGCTACTGATACTTCACATATAATTTTTTGGCTAATTAGCTATTCTTTGTAGCGATAACACTTTTGTTCATAAGCCTGATGAAGAATTAACAAAATTCCGCCGATTATGGTGGGAAGAGGGCAACATACACCCGCAAGCCAAATGGGAAGAGGCCACGTAAGTTATTCTAATGTTGATTGAAAAATTTATGAGTAAGTGACTCATATAACCAATTTTCAACAAGGCTTCCATACGTGATCGCTGAGGGCGAGACTTTGGACGAGTATGAACATCGCACCGACGAATTTAACGTTCGCGGTTTATGGGAATGGAAAGATCATAAAGTCATTATTTATGAACTGCCAGTAAAACATCACGAAACTTTTATTTCTGAAATCATTACAGCAATATACATGAAATGCAGTCCTGTGTATGGAACTGATGCCAAAATCGGAGGTCTTGGCGCAACTCGTAACTATTAATACACTAACTGTCTCAGCCCCATGTTTGTAATTTAAGATTAATCTTTGTTTTACTTAAGGAACTCGCGCTGACAATTCCGGCAAAGAAGCTGATGCAAGTTTTCGTCCTTCAAAATCACCAGTACAATCATCAAACGGGAGCGATGGAAAGGTAACTTTTTTATATTTGTTTGAAATCTTTAGCACAGGAGTTTCTCTGGATTGTTTGTATCATGATGCATCTCCTGGAATTACAATTCCTCGACAACTTCTCCCGGATCCAATTGTATTGGATTTCTTGCTAATTCGAACTGAATTCCTCCGTATGTATTAAACCTATTAACATAAGTGAAGGTCGGAGGAACGTGTCACATAATTTCTTGCAAGGTAAAAAATTAGAATAGTTTTTAGTTTATCGTAGTAATTTAATGTAATATATCCACCACTTACAATCATCATCTTTTTTTTTTTTTTTAGCAATGAATGAATTCTTTTATATTTAATCATTTGATGTACCTAATGCTATAAATAGAAATAATTACACAATGAAATTAATGCTAAAGGTAAAAATAAAGTGAATTTGATTTTTTTTTTTTGAATTTAAATATTAAAGAATTAAATATGGATAAATTTTGGCAAAGTGCTTTATCATTTATCGGTAATACAATATTCAATTTTCCAAGTTAAATATAAACTTTTCAAAAATTCAAATAATTTATTCCATCTCCATTATTGTGGAATCTCAATCACAATAGTAAAATTAGTTTCAAAATATATGAATTTAAATAAAATTATTATAAATTTTTAAAATTTAATTTTAAAATTTGAATTATTTTAAAAAACTTTTTAATAAACTTAAATATCTTTTGATAAAATTAATAAATTATAAATAAATTATATTTTTATATTACTAAAATTAATATTTAAATATTTTATTAAGAAGTTAATACTTTTTTTAAGCTTTGCAAGAAAATTTATTTGTTAGATAATCTAAGAGATATTAATAATAATTATGATTAATATAATTATTTTTGATTATAATGTAATATTTTATTATTGGCTTTTTAATTTTACAAAAAATTATATTATTAATATAAAATATGTTGGATTTTATTAATCTTTGTAAAACAATTTTATTTAGTTATTGAACTTAAAAAAATTACAAAAATATAAGAAAATTTTTTAATAAAAAATATTATTTAATTAAGAATTTTAAACAATTAATTTTTCTTTTAAAAATATTAATTATGTTAAAGATATTAAGATATAATATTAATTATAATTTATAATTAATAAATAAGATTAGTTTTATCCTTCTAAAGATATCTTATGAAGTTTTTTAATTTATTTGAAATTAAATATATTAATTATTTTTATAGAATTCTAATATAAAAAAACAATTATTATAATATATAATATTAATTAAATAATAGAAAAAGATATATATAAAATGATAAATTAAGATTTATTTTTTAGATAATGATTTTAGTTAAATTTAATGAGAAAATAAAACCTATATAATATAAATAATATTATAAGAAATATTTTCAACAAAGTGATTAGGATTATTAGTAAAATAGATGATAAAATAATAGAATAGTTATATTAATATATTTAAAAAAAAATTTATTAGTATTATCCAATCCAAACATTAAAAACAAAATTATGCACTTCAAAAATATTCAAAATTGAATTTTTTCAGATTGGCCTTCTTAATCTTTAGATCTTAATCATATTAAACATTATAACATAAAATTTGAATGAAGACTACAAAATGATTTGCACATCCAAAGTATTTTAATAGTAGTATTATAAGAAGATTGGAAAAAAAATGTAGAAGGTTAATTTTGGAAGAATAGATGATTTTTTGGCATAATGATACTATTAGTACCCAAGAAGATTACAAGGTTAACGGTTAAGGTAAAATTCGGTAAGGTAAGGTCGATGCTATTTTTTATTGATTAAATTCATATCTGCGGCACTATCGATATTTGCAAAAAACATCACTACTCCTGACGGGTTCACTAATTACATCACTTGGCACTTTGTGCTTCGTAACTATCATACACACAAATTATAGATCTACGAGTGTAACGAAGTGCTTATTATAAATTAACATTTTCTAAACTAATAAAGGTCTGCGCCATCCGACACGTTAAACAAATATCAACAAAGCATCAACCTTTTCTTTATCGAATATTTTAGCTCGCAAATCTGACATTAAACAAAAGTACTTTAAAAATTTAAAATATAAAGATGGGAACAAATTACATATATTTATAATTAATAAAAAAGTATTGGATCTTAGAAATTGAATTGTAAGTTATAAAATATCATAATTTAAGTTGATAATTTTCGTAACATTAACAATATCTTAAAAAATCAACATTTCAATCACATTCCTTCTGCTAATAATTATTTGCTAATCTATGTTATGTTTCCACAAATAATATAAAATGTAAAAAGTTAATATGATTCGAAGAAAAAAAAAAAAGTTTTAGGAGCGTACAAAATTCGCGTAAACATATAAGCATAAGCACGCCTAAAAATTTGAAATCTTATTTGATTAGAAATTACCTAATTTTGGATTAAATCGTCTATAAATTGAAAATTGGAAATTGATAAATTGATCTTTTTGCCCAATTCCTAAAGAAGACAAATTGCGATTTGACATCAACTCCTCAAATATCATGATAATATCTCGTTTTTCATTAATTTATTGATACTTTTGGACTGAGTGACAAATAAAAAAAAACCTTAATAAATTATTAACCAAAGATAGAGAGATTAAAGTTTCACAAAGAGCAGTATTTGTCATACGAATTAGAAAAGGCATACAACATGCGTTTAATACTTTTGAAAGATATATCGGGATAAATTGAAATAAATTGAGAATAAAACTTTTTTGTACTTTCAATGTTCCGAGTTCATTTATGTAAAAGATATGCATAATCTATTTAATTTATTTATTCAATGCAACATGAGTTGCATTGTGTAGCTTTTCTTGTTCATCAAGAAACATTTTGTATAAAAATTATCAATCATAATGTTGTCGCTTCATTTATAATTAAAGTTAAGATGTTGACCCTTTTTCGTTTATAAAAACATGAGTGTTGATTAATAAATAACATGAAAGACCATATGAAACATAATAAGCATGCATATAATGAAAGTTTTTTTTTTTTTTGGTTATGTTTTGATTTAACTTTCATTTTTAATTCGTTTTATGCAAATAGTGAACAAATAACAAAATATCTTAATAACTAGTTGTTTATTCGCATGACCCATTTATATATGATAAAAATTTTTTCATCACAAGGTCATTATTTTTTCAAAGGAAAATATCTTCACGGTTTTGAAATTATACTATTTATTTTATTGATCGACTAAAATATTCCGTTACATATTTTTTTTTTTTTTGGTGCAACATTTTTCCCCCTCTTATCTTATTTAATTTATACATGATTGTAATTGTAAAATAAAGTATCAAATCATTTTTTGAAAATGTAACCAACCTAAAAAAAAATATAAATACATCATCATTCAGTAGAATATGATCCCAAGTTTTGGAGCTACATGGTCGCATTGTAACCTCCTAAACTTTAAAGAAGAATTTTGGCTCTTATTTCTTCCTTATAAAACTATCCTTAGTTGGATTCAGGTTTATAAAATATATATATAACATTACTTTTAGAATAAAATAAAGACGACGTCTTGCGGCAATTTTTAGTTCCAAACCTTACAAGAATTTCATTTCGATTATTTCAGTATCGATTTATTATCCCTTAGAAATTTATTGCTTTCAAACAACATTAACTATCAAACGTATTTATTAGTGTTCGATTTATTATTTTAAACGAAATTAAAGTAGAAATATCAAAAAAAAAAAAAATAAATAAATAAATAAATATTATTATTACGAAGTGGGAAATGAGGAGATTTATATTACAGAAAGCGCCAGTATTATGTTGGAGATTATTTCAGCTGTTATTGGTGACGGTTATTTTTGGTTTAGGTAAGTTTGATAAATAGGTGAAAATTGATTAACTGCGGAAAATTTATTGGTCATAAATCTTTTTTTTCTCATCAAATTTTTTTTTCCTTAGAATTTACACAAGTAAAAGTATACAAATTATGGTATTATGAGGAACCGTAAGTATTTATAAACTATTAAATATTCGTTTTTTAATTGTTCACTGAGAAAGAAAACAAACCACGTGACATCCATCAATCAATCTAGGTCGCATGGGAGCGCATCTTATTATTGGCTAGTCATCTTCATGACTTATGCAACGCTATTATATTTCATGTCAAGTTTTTCATATCGATGGATAACTGGACCATACAAGAGTGAAATGTATATTGATTTGTACGTATGTCTAGAAGGAATTTTGTTTTTTAATTTTTACCTCTAGCATATTAAAATTTTATTATTTATTTTTAGATTTTTATCACATTTGTGGATTATTGTTTGTAAGTGCTCAAATATTTACCACTTTTCATGACGATGTTAATTGATGAATCTAACGCCACCTTCTTTTCCTTTTCAGCATTAATGAATATGATATCAGCGTTTAATGGAGAGAAATTAGCATGCGACTACCCAGAAGATATGAATCAACGCGTTCGCACAACTCGTTGTCGTCTATTTCTTTCAAGCATGTCATTAGGTTGGATAGTTGCGGCCTCTTTCATGTGTTCTTCATACATATCAATAATGAGATGGCGTAAACGTCCGATTGAAGCCATGACAACTAAATTCATTGAACCTCCTACGGTACCGAATAAACCTGATACTTATCTTGTACAAAAGGGAGTTTTGGCAGACGGACAGCCTGTATTATTTTTCCATATGGCTCAAAAAAATTCTAATTCAAATTTAACGTCGGCAAAAGGTGGTGCAAATGGAAATGCTACACCTTCTACTACTAGCTCTAATAATGCTTCAAATAGTAATCTAAATAATTCTACAGCACATCAAAACACTTCTACATCATCTAGAGCTAGTATTTATCTACGTGGTAAAGATACCACTGAAGTTTAATCTTTAATGAATACCTTTTAAAAAATGTAATCTCTAATTTATTTTTAAAAATATATATATATATATATATTTATTTATTACGCAAATTTTAATTTTATATCTCGGAAGAATTATCATTACTTTATGTCGCACACATTTTAGATTTTAAATTTTATTTAGTAAATAGTAAAACTGTAAAATTATTATTCTTGCTATCTTCTCACAATTAGCAAATTTTGTATTTATTTTTAGATTCATTTGTTTTTCGGTTTTATAGCTTATGACTTTAGTTTGTTTTCTCTTCCCTTATTTTTTTTTTAATAACCTAACAAAATAATTTCATTCCTGTTTGGAACCTTTTAACCATGTGTGTTTTTTCACATTCAATTTTATTTTATTTATTTATGAATAATGCATTGTCAATAAATACCATTTCTTTCTCGATTTATTATTTGTTATGATCATTACCTTTTATGGCAAATTATTATCCAACCTCACAAACTTACAGAGTATTTGTGTTAACTAAAGATAAGACAAACTTTCTTTATTTATATATGTAGAATTTTCCTTTTTCATTTATTTGTTTGAGGAAGTTGTTCATTGGATTAATTCACGGGAGTGTAATTTATTTTTCGTTATGTAAACCCTGCAGCTAATAACTAATGTGTAACACAGCTCAAAGGAATTTGAAGTTAGTTCCGGAGTTGTTTTTTGACACAATCGGAGGTGTGGACCCATGTTACACCAAATTATTTATAATGGGGTTGATAATTTTTTTTTTTTTGCCTAATTAAGAACTGATGGATAGAATGGTTGTACTTATTCCACGTGAAAGCCGGAGAATCAAACCTTGTTTTACGCCAGGTACCGAAATTTTCTTAACTGTGGGTCGGTCTCTCGATCTGGTTGGGTGAATTCAAACGTAGATTTTCAAACATTATAAATGATTATTTGGAGCAACGAAAGTTACTCCATAATGCCAATCAATAGCATCATAATTATCTCATATAAGATACCATATGATCGTAAATTCTGTTCTAGGAAATATATTTCACTCAACAAAAACGTCCATTAGATAAATTCAACGACAAAGAGAATAGTACCAGAGGTTAAAAGTGACTAGGATAACCATTGACCATCTTTTCTTTTTAACGTAATTTGTATTTATTATAGTCAATTCAATTTTTTAAGCAAGCAAAATATTGTCAAGGCTTATGAAGTTCATTACTATTGTTATCGAGATTCCGCAATATTGGAGATGGGATAAATTATTTGAATTTCGAAAAGTTTAAGTGATTTTTTAAAAGTAAATTAAAATTTTCAAAGTAACTTGAAAAATTGAATATTATACTTTGTGGATGAGGTGTTTTATTTTTAGTGTACTACCGATAATTGATAAAGCGCTTTGCCAAAATTTATCCTTTAATATTTAAAATTCAAAAAAAAAAAATCAAATTCACTTTATTTTTCACCTTTAGCATTAATTTCATTGTGTAATTATTTTTACTATTTATAGCATTAGGTACATCAAATGATTAAATATAAAAGAATTCATTAATTGCTGAAAAAAAAAAAAAAAATGATGATTGTAAGTGGTGGATATATTACATTAAATTACTACGATAAACTAAAAACTATTCTAATTTTTTACCTTGCAAGAAATTATGTGACACGTTCCTCCGACCTTCACTTATGTTAATAGGTTTAATACATACGGAGGAATTCAGTTCGAATTAGCAAGAAATCCAATACAATTGGATCCGGGAGAAGTTGTCGAGGAATTGTAATTCCAGGAGATGCATCATGATACAAACAGTCCAGAGAAATATTGATCACACATTGACCTGGTTGAATATTTGTCGGATTTCCATTTTTGTCATGAGTACCAAATTCAAACTAACAATTAAAACATTTTGTTAGAAAATGTATCGATAAAAGGAAATTATATTTGTTTGTGACATTACGTATTTTCGAGGTTGGATCTCTGATGTTCTTGTTCGTTTGTCTGTGATACAAAAGTGCCACGCCTACAATTGATTAGATTCTTTAGAATAATGCAAACATTGGAATGCCACATGCACCTTAAGAAATATAACTTACTTGCATGCGTGTAGGCGGTTCGTCATCCTCAGAAAAAGGACCGATTTTGACGACTATCGCATCATGGACACGACTAAGATTACCTAACCAATAATTTTTCACCTTGTCCAGGACATGTTGTTCACTTTCAGAATACGCAACTTCAACGACAAGATTTGGCCAAGGTTCTTTCTGAAATCATGAAAATATGAAACTCCTATGCTAAAGATTTCAAACAAATATAAAAAAAGTTACCTTTCCATTGCTTCCGTTTGGTGATTGTACTCGTGATTTTGAAGGGCGAAAACTTGCATCAGCTTCTTTTCCGGAATTGTCAGCGCGAGTTCCTTAAGGAAAACAAAGATTAATCTTAAATTACAAACATGAGGCTGAGACAGTTAGTGTATTAATAGTTACGAGTTGCGCCAAGACCTCCGATACTGGCATCAGTTCGTTTAACAGGAAGACATTTCTCCATTATTTCAGAATTGATTGCACAAATAAAATTTTCGTGGTGTTTTACTGGCAGTTCATAAATAATGACTTTATGATCTTTCCATTCCCATAAACCGCGAACGTTAAATTCGTCGGTGCGATGTTCATACTCGTCCAAAGTCTCGCCCTCAGCGATCACGTATGGAAGCCTTGTTGAAAATTGGTTATATGAGTCACTTACTCATAAATTTTTCAATCAACATTAGAATAACTTACGTGGCCTCTTCCCATTTGGCTTGCGGGTGTATGTTGCCCTCTTCCCACCATAATCGGCGGAACTTTGTTAATTCTTCATCAGGCTTATGAACAAAAGTGTTATCGCTACAAAGAATAGATAATTAGCCAAAAAATTATATGTGAAGTATCAGTTGCAATATTTATTTACCTTTGATTCGGGGTAATGGAGGTAAAGGATGTATTTACGCCCTCTATGATAAAATGTGCTGTTATTATACTACCCTCAAAGGAATTGAAAAGAAGTTAAAATCACACACCAATTGACTCTGGTCTGCCAATCTTGCTAATTCTGCTAACGTTAGACGAGCTAGACGAGCTAAAGTAACCATCACAAAAGGTTGACATTCTTCAGCTTTTTTGCAAGTATGTGGGAAATTTTTGTAAGAGCAAATCAATTGATATATCATTTTTCATACTTATTGTCCGTAATCAAGCGGAAGTTAAATTCTTAAAAAGTTAAAAAAAAGTTTGTCTCCCTTTATGCTAAAGGTGATAAATAAATATAAATTTTAAATTCAAATGATTTTCCTGCGTATAATATAAAGCAATCAAAAATTAAGTTTTGAATCTATATTATAAATTTAAACGGAAGAAAAGAAATGTAACAACGAAATAATTGTCCTGAAGCGAAGGTTCATTTCCGGTCGGTCGGTTTTTAGCGATTTTATTGGTTAAATTTTGTGATGACCATTTTTGAAATATCACATAATTTTTAATCTTAATTGGTACAAAATTGATCGTCATATCATTTACCAAACATAGAAAGGCCGGTTTTTTTGACGTTTTAGTGGTCTTTTTTTTATTATTTTTATAAATTTTTTTATTAAAAATTCTTAAATTAAAATCAAAAATAAAAGTATATATCAAATAAATCTATAAAATGAATACAAATAATAATTTTTGTAAAGTTAAAGATTATGATAAAAATGATTTAAATATATATAAATTTAAAAAATTTATTTAATTAAGTAAAGAAAAAGCTATAAAAGTTAATACTTATCAAAATTATAGTTATCTTCAAATTAATAATCAATTGTGTTTTTTACATTATTTATCAATTATAAAAGTAAATCTAAATAATAATAATAATTTAAATTTTAATTATTAGTTTAATATAAATATAAAATATTATGATAATAAAGTAATTCTTTCTAAAAATAATTTTGATCTTTTACTTAATAAAATTAAAAATATATAAAAAAATATAAAAAAATAATTTAAATCAATTAAAAGAAAAAATAAATTATTATCAAAATGTTTATATAAAAGATAAAGATAATTATATTTAGGAATTAAATTAGATTCTAAAAAATTTCAAAATATAATTGAAAAAAATGAATCACTATTAAAAGGATTTTTTTAATAAATTAATTGATATTTTTCTTTTATTAAATAGAAAAATTAATAATGTTAACATGCAATTCTTGCAAATTGTGACTATTAGACGGGGTATTTGAGTGGTGATTCTTTTAAGTTTATGTAGCGACTCAATTCAGTTTAACTCAAGATTTATAATCTACATGGTAGTGTATTCACGACAAGGCTAGGAGTAAGGCAGTTCAATTGATTTAGAGATATAATAATAGGTTTATTGACAATAATAAAAATAAAAATAAGAGATAATAATAGTAAAATAAGAAAATAGAAAAGAATATGAAAAATCAAGAAAGTTAAAGTACTAGGTGAGATGTTAGGCCAGACGCCTCTATAAGAACTACTAGATGTGTATCCAAAAGCAAAACCAAAAGAAAACTAAAAGTGAATTACAAGCGAACTACTGTTTACATGATTCTATTGCTCTCTATTTATATTAAATTAATACATAGATGAATGTAACAAATAAATCAAATATATCTAATATGTCCGATATGTCAAAGATATCAATTATATCAAATATGTTCAATATATCAAATATATCAAATATATCAAATATATCTAGTATATCTAACATTTAGATCTGCAATATACTGCACCACATTTGTCAATTTAATCCTGTTACATTAATATAAAAAATAGCAAAAAATCTCTTGTTAGTTTTTATTATCTGATTTAAAAAATAAATTTAATAATTCTTTTCAATTAAAATTTGGATTTTATTTATCTTTATATAATGTTACTTCTAAATATATTGATATAATAATAAGATTTAAAATTTCAATATCTTATAAAACAGTAGAAAAATATAAAAAAAAAAATATTAGATAATCATTTTAATAAAATAAATTAATATTTTGAAAAAAATAAAAATAATTTATTTTATTTTAATATTGATGATTATTATTCAATATATAGTTATAGAAATCTAAATATAATATCTCTTTATCAATATATTATATAACAATATATATTGCTAAAACTATAGAAAATAATACTCTTATATCAGCAATAAAAAATAATATTTTAATTTATAATTCTAAAAATATTGAAGATTAGAAAATTAATTATTATTTAATATATACATATATTTTAATTTATTAAGTAAAAATTATAATATAATAAAATATAATTTATAAAATAATTTAATTAATATTAATAAATTTGATAGAATAGAACTTTAATTATTTATTCATATAATGATTCTATAAAATAACATCAAAATGATAAATTAATGTAAAATTGTTATTTAATTAATATAAAAAAATTAAATCTTAAAAGTTTAGATAATTATTTAAAAGCTATTAAAATGATTATAAAATTCTATATTAAATACTTATCTTAAGAAAATATAATACCAATTGTTGCTGATTTTTCAAATCAATTATTTATAAGAAAAGTAATAACTTTATTTAATAAATAAAAAAAGAACAAAAAATTTTTATTTAAATTTCTAATATTATTAATAATTTTATTTCAATTTTTAGACCATTACATATATTATTAAATATAAAAAAATATATTATATTAATTTATTGAGATTTTTTAAAAAATTATTTAAATCAGTTTTTGATAAAAATAAGATAGTAGTAAAAAAATCTAAACCTTAAAAAATTAATTTGTTTTTAGAATTAGCAAATTTAGCATATATTAAAATTGCTATAGAAATAATTTATAAATTTAAATCACTTTACAAGAATATTGAATATCAAATATTAATAGATATTTTAGATAATTTAATATTTGCAACTTTAGATATTTATAGTAAAATATTTCAATTTGGATTTTATAATCAATATATAAATACAATTTTTAGATTATAAATATTTGTTTTAAGATGAAAAAGAAAAAATTATAGTAAGATTTCATTAGCTTTTCTTTTTAATATTTTTTATTGAAAAGATAATAATCATCTATTTCTTAAAGCAATTGAAACTTATCTTGCTAATTTTAATGATTATTAAAAATTGACATAATAAAAATTAAAAGAAATATAACTTCTCAATATTCTTTAAATGTTATTATTTCTCAAACATTTGTATTAGAATCATATAATCAAACTTTTTTAATACTTTTAAAACAATTAAAAATTATTCTTATAAAGAATCTACTTTAGATTATTTAAAATATAAAACATATTCTTTATTAATTACTTTATCAAATCTTTAAAAATTTAGAAAAAGTAAGAAAATTAAAAGAATAAATATTATTTATCAACATTAAATCTAATCAAAAATTTAAATATTTAGATAAAGAAGGTATATTGTTGATATGTAAATATACTTTCCATCACAAATGTTTTGCAGAACAAAATAATAAGTGTAATTATTGTTTAGGATTCTATAAAAAGGTGTTGTCTTTAATATAAAGTCTTATATAAAAGATTAGAAAAAGATGATAATATTAATAATAGGTTATTAGATGATGAAATATTAGATAATAATAATGAAGAAGAAAAAGATGATGATGAATATAAAGAAACAGTAGAAAAAATATTGGTTGACTTTAATAATGCTTTAGAACTTGTAAAAATTAAATAAAATATATTGTAATATATATAATTTTAACCTTAAAATTTCGGGTCTCATTTAACTTTCTTAATAGCAGAGATCTCTGAATCTTTTTTTACCCAAATATAAAGAAAGGAACGAACAATATATCGATGCAAAAAAACTGCGCATCAATATTATTGATCTTTTTAAATCAATTGAAATCGAATATTACACAATATAAAAAAATCGTATCACCACATATGTCCATTATGCTTTTGATCCCCCTAATTGACTAGTAACTGATATAAATTATTACGTTATCGTCATTCGTGATTTCGTAATTATAGTCAGGATATAAATTACCTCTCTTATCTCTTACAATAAAATAAAGATATCTACTCATGAAGAATATGTTGACAATGATAAGTTCTATAACATCTTTTTACACTAAAAATTTAGTTTCTAACCAATTTTCAATTTACTAGCTCTAGTTTCTTATTTACAAATAACTACTAATAAGTCGTATCGAAGATTTCTTGAGCTATACTGTAAGGTTATTCTTATTTCTATTATTACCGTTGCTCAGCTGTCTTATAAAGCTCTTGACGATCTTTGGATAATAAAATTCCTTAAGGAAGCTTTAGGAAATGATGATGATTTCAGGAATTTAAAAGAGAAGATGCGTTTTTTTTATTTTGCAAAAGAAGGGTAACTCCTAGCTGGATGCGTTACAGCTTAGAAGAATTACTGCCTTTGATAGCTTGGTATCCACTCCAAGTCCTCAAGTCAGGTATTCTAACTTTATTGTTGGTAAAGGTCTTGGTTTCTGAAGGAGAAACTGGTTATATACCTTCTTTTATTATTAATAAAAAGTTGATGCACTATTAAGATCATCTTTCTCTCAACAATAGGTAAATTCGGAACGTAACAACAATCATCTACGTAGAAGTCATAAAGGAATATGAATTGGTGAGTAAGCTTATATGATCCAATTGTAGATTTAATAATATCTAATATTATTATTTTTAAAGACGAGAACTTAAAAATTATGAGAACGAAAAAGAATGTGTCCTCCAAAATCTTCATATACTTGATGATAAAATACAAACAACAAATGCTCAAATTGCTGAGCTAACTAATAATTGGAGTTAGGAGAAAGATCTGCTAATGACAATATATGATAATTTCGATCAGCAAAATGATTATTATAATCCATATGAGGATTAGAAGGTAAAACGCAGAAAGGAGAAATCTAAAGCTATTATTAATAATGATATAGAAATCCCAAAGGACTTATTTGAAGTTTCTGATACTTCATCAGATCATAATGCAACAGGAGAAGATATTTTTCTCAGTTGGTACTTAAAGATCTATAAGTAATACAGCATATCATCCGTACAGTAACTCAAAGAGTTCATACTTGGTTGTTTCCTGTTATGCTGTACGATATGCGAATAAGGCTGATGAGAGATAGGTGTCCCATTCTCCTTGATGTTACTCAACATATTTAGCTAAGATAGTATACAAAGTCTGATTAAAAC